GGGGGGGTGCTTATGTTGCTACTAATGCACATAACGATATATCACAATAGTCATATTCATTCGCCACATTATCCCATTGACACATCATAGACACCCATGCAGGGAGTTTAAAAAAACCCTCTGTGTCGAATACGATGCTCGTATTACGATTAGGCACATCCTATTAAAATGTCCATCCGGACTTCGGACAGACCCCAAGAAAACGTTTCCAATATATTAATTTTTAACAAATGTTTTCCATCCTTGATCCCAACTGAATTCTCGATTTTATAAATGCCATTTGTCTAAACGGTGAACTGTAAAATATAGTGTTATTTGAAACATGCATTTGCTGCTATTAAAACAGAATTTTTACGATTATTTCAAGATACTTCAACTATTCTGACTTGCAAAGTAAGACAAAGCCGTGCTATAAACTAACGTTAAAACTAACTTGAGTTCTGCGCGCTCATATAATATGACCTTTATGCATTTGCCGTAAAATTATTACTAAGCCAAACTAAAACAACTCTCCTCCCAAAGCAGCCCATGGACAAATAACAAGCAATTTGGGTGACACATTACATCCCTCTGAATGTCAATAATTGTTAAAAATTGGAGCTCTGTAACAAGCCTATTTTCGTTTGGTTGTGTGATCCCTACTGCAAGGGCAGCCTGACCTAGGATGTATGTGTATCAATGTTACATTTGGTGCGGAATGTGACAGTTGGACTGTAAGGAGATTTGACGCAGAGTGTACTTATCGGTCATGGAGAAATGTTTGAGAGGTAGAGGGAGAGGGGGGGGGGATGGCGAGGACACACAAACACAGATACAGAGACGGTGAGAGAGGGGCAAGAGAGGGAGAAAGAGAGATAGAGATACGAGGAAGAGGAGAGAGAGGGAGATGGCTAGGACACACACACACACACACACACACACACACACACACACACACACACACACACACACACACATACAGATAACATCAACAAGAATGCTGACCTTCCTTCCCTCCGGCCCCCGTTCACCTGGAAGAGACCATCGAGTGTCTTCCCTTAGTCCTGGAAAAACAGACAAAAATTATAATGAGCAAGGTAAAAAACAAAACAAACAGATTACGTGTTGTGGAATCTGTCTAAGAGACAACCATCCCTATTCCTGGAGAAAAGTGGTTATCTGAAACAGGTGGTCCCCTCAGACAGTGGGGTTTTTTTGTCCGTTGCCCATTTCTATGATATTGACGCTATATGATTACTAGAAAAAGGTGCGTATGATAGTGTAGTGATATTTTTAATTAAGTACATTATAATTATTATATCATGTAATTGTTACAGATAGAGATTCAAGGAATGTAGCAGATGTATGTCAAGGATTTGAGAGTAATGATGATTTTACATATGATGGTGGTGGTGAGTGATGATGAGGGGTGGTGTTTTCGTTATCTCCTATCCAATTCCCGACTGGAGCAATCTTCAATGTCATCTGAAGTTCAGAAATGGTGGGCACAACTCTGCTAAGCTGGCCTTCTTAGTGTTAGCCTATTCTATCGGGCACTTTATAGAAAGGCTTTGACCGTTCTGAGCCCATACTGCAAGAAGTTCTAAGATAGCTCGCTCCGTCTCTCTGTCTCCCTCTCTTTCTCTCTCTACCTACCCATCTATCTATTCTCTATTACTCTCTCTCTCTCTTGCTCCCTATCTCTCTCTCTCTCTCT